ATCACCCGGATCTCTGGGGGCAGCTCGTTCCAGAGGGTGGGTGCTCCGACAGAGAAGGCTCTCCCCCTGGGGGTCGCCAGCCGACACTGTCTGGCTGACGGCACCCTGAGGAGGCCCTCTCTGTGGGAGCGTATCGGCCGGTGGGAGGCAATCTGTGGCAGAAGGCGGTCTCGGAGGTAACCAGGTCCAATGCCATGGTTCTCAACCTGTGGGTCGGGACCCCATTTGGGGTCGATCGACCATTTCATGGGGGTCGCCAAGCAAGGCTGTCCGCCAGTTTTTTTGTCCGCCATTTTTTCCCCCTTTTCCGGCGGGTGCCTTACCTCCCTTGGGCTGGGCCAGCTGGTGGTCGGCCTGCTCCGTCTCTGCCGCTTGCCAGCTTCGCCTCGGCTGGCGCAGGGGGCGGAACCACGCATGCGCGGCGCTCCCGGGCAGGGAAAGTCCTCGACTTACGACCGGTTGGGTAGTCCTCGACTTACGACTGGTTTAGTCCTCGACTTACGACCGGTTGGGTTCGCGGCATTAAAAAGGTTGAGAACCACTGGTATAGGGTTTCCTGCCTGAGCAGGGGGGTTGGACTAGATGACCTTCAAGGTCCCTTCCAACTTTACTATTATTATTATTAAGTAACTAAGTTAACTAACTAAACAAATGGCATACACAAATTACCTTCCTTCCAGAAAAAAATTGAAAAGTTGCTTTTCCAGTTTTTTGTTTTTAAGAGCGTCAGACCTCCTACAGCTTAAACCTCTAATTAGAAACGATCCTTGGCTCTATTTATTGAGAAAGGTATCGTTTATTAGAGATCAAGTATATTGTAGTATTACAAAGCCAGAACAGAGAATCTCTTTTCAAAGTCTCTTAAGTTCTACTTTTCCCTCCCTTCACGCTCTCACATTGTCCACTCCGGTGTATCCAATCAGGTTCGGGCAAGATGTTTTCATAATGATCGGTCCAACTGTACTTTAACAATAATAATAATAATAATAATAATAATGATAAAGTTGGAAGGGACCTTGGAGGTCATCTAGTCCAACCCCCTGCTCAGGCAGGAAACCCTATACCAGTGATGGCAAACCTTTTAGAGACCGAGTGCCCAAACTGCAACCCAAAACCCACTTATGTATCGTTGGGTGCCGGGCGGGCGTGGCCCATTGGGTGGGCGTGGCTTCAGTGGTAACGGCAGACTGGGTGGGACTAAAGTTCAATCAATCAATTCCAACTTTGTGAGATTTTTTTTCCCCGCGAGAAGTTGAAATTGACTGATTGATTGAACCTTTTTTTTTTTCACATGGCGGCAGAGGCCTAAAGCAAAAAGGTTTTATAAAACCCAGTTGAAGGCCTAGGACTGGGGCGACGGTGCGCATGCCCACAGAGAGGGCTCTGAGTGCCGCCTTTGGCACCCATGCCATAGGTTTGCCACCACTGCCCTATACCATTTCAGACAAATGGCTGTCCAGTCTCTTCTTAAAAACTTCCAGTGTTGGAGCATTCACCGCTTCTGGAGGCAGGTTGTTCCACTGGTTAATTGTTCTAACTGTCAGGAAGTTTCTCCTTAGTTCTAGGTTGCTTCTCTCCTTGATCAGTTTCCATCTGTTGCTTCTTGTCCTGCCTTCAGGCGCTTTGGAGAATAGCTTGACTCCCTCTTCTTTGTGGGAGCCCCTGAGATATTGGAACACTGCTATCATGTCCCCCCTCGTCCTTCTCTTCGTTAAACTAGACATACCCAAATCATACTTTGGTATGTAGCTCCCTCCTTTTCCTAGCTGGGTGACCTTGAGGCAGCATCTCGAAGAGATATAGCACCAACTTTCCGTTTTCCCAAACATTCCCCCCTTCCTTCTCCCTCCCCACAGTTCATGGCAGTCTTATCACTGCATAGCAGTGAAGCACAAGTAAGCATAAGGTGGCAGCTGACAGAGGGGGTCTCTGCTTTGGTACGTTTTACCGGGTAGTTATAAGATTTATTGTGGTTGTGTTTATTATTGTGAACTGATCAAGGGTCTTCTGTGATTGTGGTGGGATACAAATCTAATTAATCAGCGAGCAAGCCAGTAGTAGCACTGAGTGTTGGGGTAATGGGGCGCGTGTGGTCAGCTGCGGTTAGCATAGTGCTCATAAAATCCCAGAGAAAATGTGGAGTATGTTACTGCTAGGGTGACTATTGGGAAAAAATAAAGAACAAAAACCCAGAAAAGGGACAGATTTGAAGGAGGCTCATAAGGATAAAGAAATGTTAATGTTTTTTTGTTTATAACCTTGCTCTACAAAGGAAAAACCAAGAGCAAAACCGTGAAAAACTATACAAGAACGCATATTCTAATGAAAATACCTAAAATCAAACAGTATAATAATAATAATAGTAATAGTAATAATAGTAATAATAATAGT